GAGGGGGATATATATATATATATATATATATATATATACATACACACACACATATATATATATATATATGTAAGATTATTAGTGGTTACCAGGGGGAGGAAGGAAGTAGAGAGGGGAAGCTTTTGTTTGTAAGGCATTGAGTTTATGCTAATGGTGGTGGAACAAAAAAGAAAATGAAAATCATCACAACTGTACCAATAGGCAGCATTATGATAAATGGAGAAAAGACTGAAGTTGTCAAAGATTTCCTTTTACTTGGATCCACAATCCACACCCATGGAAGCAGCAGTCAAGAAATTCTATGTCGATTTCACTGGGCAAATGTGCTGCAAAAGACCTCTTTAAAGTGTTGAAGGGCAAAGATGTTACTTTGAAGACTAAGCTGAGCCCGACCCAAGCCATGATATCTTTAATTGCCTAATATGATCTCTGGTAGCACAATGCCTAAGGCATTTGACTGCTAACCAATAGGATGGTGGTTCAAACCCACCAACCACTCCAAGGAAGGAAGATAGGGCAATCCACTTCCATGAAGATTTACTGCCTTGGAAATCCAATGGGGGTTGCTATGACTTGAAAGAGACTCGATGGCAGTGGCTTTGGCTTGGTGTTTGGTGATATGCATGTGAAAGCTGGACAGTGTATAAGGAAGACCAAAGAAGGATTTATTGAATTGTGGCATTGATGAAGACTACCATGGACTGCCAGAAGAATGAACAAATCCATCCTGGAAGAAGTACAGTGCCAGAATGCTCCTTAGAAGCGAGAATGGCCTGACTTTATCTCACCTACTTTGGTCATGTCAGAAGGAACCATTCCCTAGAGAATGATATCATGCTTGGTAAAGTGGATAGTCAGTGAAAAAGAAGAAAACCCTCAACAAGATGGATTAATACAGTGGCTGCAAAGATGGACTCAAGTATAACAAGGATGGAGCCAACTTAACAGTACCTCACAACTGCACATGGCCAATTGATTTAATCATATGTAACTACTCCATAACAGCAACTAGACTAGTGTTTGTCTAAACCACTAGGAAACACATTTAGCTATCTTGACATGTAAAATTAACCTTCACACCATCTAACATCTGCTTATTATACTACAATTTGAGTGGCTGTTATGGTTTTAAAACATAGATCAAAACCCTAGAAATCCTGTTTCACTTAGAGTAAAGGCCAAACCAAAATACCCTACTACTGTTGAGTTGATTCTGACACATAGCAACTCTACAGGACAAATTAGAACTGCCTCATAGGGTTTCCAAAGCTTTAAATCTTTGTGGAAGCAGACTTAAATATTTCTCCGCAGTGTGGCTGGTGAGTTTGAACCACTGACCTTTCAGTTAGCAGCTGAGTGCTAACCACTATACCACAGGGCTCCTTCGAGTAAAGGTCAAACAACCAACCAACCACCACAACAAAACTCATTGTTGTCAAGTTGATTTTGACTCATAGTGACCCTATAAGGGAGAGTAGAACTGTCCCATAGAGTTTCCAAGGCTATAAATCTTTACAGAAGCACACTGCTATACTTTTCTGTCGGAAAACAGCTAGTGGTTTAGAAACATAGACCTTCTGTTTAGGAGCTGTATACTTTAACCACTGCATCACCAAGGCTCCTGTGAATAAAAGCTAGAGGTCTTATAATGATCCTCAAGTCCCTGAACAATGTGACATGGGTTACATCTCTGACTTTATATCCTACCTTTCTCTCTCCTTGCTGTTGTTGGTGTAAAGTACTGTTGAGTTGATTTCTACTCATAGTGACCCCATGTAACAGAGTAGAGCTGCTATTATCTTGGCTATAATTTTTGTGGAATCTGGGTGCGTTGAAATAGCCAACCTTTTGGTTAACAGCTGAGTGTTTAGCTGTTGTGCCACTGTGGCTCCTTATTGCTATTCCTCAAACTTCTTCCTCAGGTTCTTTGTACTGACTGTTTCCTCTGCATGGACATGTCCTCCTTCACATATCCATGATCCTTCTCCTATGACTCTTTGTTTAAATGTTATCTTCTCAATGACCCCTATCCTGATCCCTGATCATCTCATTTATAATTACAGCCCTCCATTATGGACTCCCATCCTGTTGTTTTTTTTTTTCAATGACATTTAGTCTAATATGCCATTTAATTAATTAATTTTGTTTCTGTCTCCAACAAGAGAAATGGAACCTATTTAAAAGCAAAGATTTCTGTTTTGTTCATTGATATCTTCTTAGTGGCTAAAGCATTCCCTGGCTTTTTTCACTTATGAATGGAAGATACTAAGAAACTAGATTTTGGATGAGACAGTCTAAAGAATGCCATAGAGAAAGTTCTAGAGGAGAGGGAGAGATTAAAGGTAATGGAGAAATATTCAATATTTATTTTTTATATGTTTTCACAAAAGGTAAGTAGGAATAATATGAAGATTATAAATATATAAATAAGCTTTGGGAAAGTAGAGAGCCATCTTTCAATGAGACTGGACTTAAAGAGGAGTCCCTGGGTGGTACAGACAGTTAATGCACTCAGCTGCTAACTGGGAAGTTTAGAGGATCCAGTCCACCCAGTGGTGCATTGAAAGAAAGCCTGGCAGTCTGCTTCCCAAAAGTCAGCCACAGAAATCCCTGTGGAGCACATTTCTACATGATACTGTGGGGTCACCATTAGTCAAAGTTGACTCAATGGCAACTAGTTTAGGCTTAAAGAAAAAAGGATGGCTGTAGATGCGTATTTGAAGGTGAAAGGAAATACAGGAGAAATAATGTGTGTTAGTTAAGGCTTGATTAATCTTATTTTCTCAGGTAACTGTCAAGTTTATCTGTTGAGTTGTCTCTGTTATATCACTGATTAGAGTGAGTGGTTAAGGTTGAGGTGGGTATCAGGGACAGCAAATGAAAGAGAGAGCTTGACCTCTCTTTCAGGAAGTTTGCGACTGAGAGCACCTAAAGGCTAATTACCCTGAAGGCCATCCTTGGTGTAGACTTATGAGGGACATACGAGAATACTTGGTTGCACTTACATTCCTGGTATACCATAAAGGCATATGGGAAAGAAACAAGCCAAGAGGTGTTTGTCTGCCATGAAGTCTCAGATATTTTCTTTCATATTTTCTCTGCTTGCCCTTTCAGAGACTTTTTAACACAATTTAAACTATTTATTTATACTACTTACTGAATTCATTTTGCATAACTAGTAGTGTATCTTACTTATGTGCAGTAGTCTAGTCATTATTATCACCAAGGGATATTGTGAATTAATTCTGCTTCACCCTCTCTAGAATGTAATGCCTCTATCAGCTGGATTATTCAAGAGTGAGCATAAAAACCCTGTGCCACAGTGTCCTCCACGTCTCCATGTGCAGTTTTTATCACATGTTCTTTGGAGCAGAATGCCAAACCAGTTTTTGAAGGTAGACGTCTCTAGAATCAGTGAACGCCAAGGCTGGCTGGTGCAGTGTTTGGATCCTCTGCAGTTCATGTCTCTTCATATCCCAGAAGAAAACAGGTTAGCCCCATGTATCCTTTACTGTATGGGTGGGATGCTTTGCATTAGACTACCTAATATTCAGAGGTTCAGGAATGGAGCTACAGAAACAAATTTTTGAAATATCTGACTTTTTTTTTTTTTCGAAATGGATACTTTATTTACAGTATTTCAAGTTTAAATCTATTTCTCAACCATCTAATTAGTGGGGAAAAAACATTATAATACTACAGTTGAAGAGGATGTGATACTGTGGTATTTTTTTATTTACTTTTATACTTATACTTAGGATGTCAACTGCAAATAAAAATCCAGACAGGTACCTCTGAAGTTTGACTTGTGACTTAACAGAGTAATGTAACATCATAGAATTCTAGGATATTAGAGATGAATTCATAGGAATCACTTACTTCAGCCCTTTCATTTTAACAGATGTGAAAAACTAAAGCTAAGAAACATTAGTGAAACAAAAGTGTGAAAATATTTTGTGGACTTTGGAAATAAATTTATATGCAATCCAGGCAGTAATAATATAGCATAAGGTGTAACACATGTTCAAAATAGCTTTGTTTATGATTTGCAATGTTTTCCTGTTATAACCAATTAAATTGCAACTATTTTATCAGCCCCATTATCACTAGGAGCTAAGGTTCTAGAGGTCTGAATTTTTCTCCCATTTCCTGTTATAACCAATTAAATTGCAACTATTTTATCAGCCCCATTATCACTAGGAGCTAAGGTTCTAGAGGTCTGAAGTTTTCTCCCAGCATAGCATAAATGAGTTAAAGTACTGACTGAAAACCATAAAAACACAAATGTATTTGTTGTCCTTCTTTTATTTTAATGTTTTTACTTAAATCTTCAACAATTGCAGGAGCTGTGTCAATACATAAAGATCTTTAGAGATGCTTGGCATTTTCTTATATTTTATTACCTTTAAAAATGAAGTTGTGCTTTGGAAAACAGTTTGGAAGTTCCTCAAGAACTTAAATTAGAGTTAACCATATGACCTAGCAATTCTACTCCGAGGTACATACCAAAGTAAAAT